CTCTTTTGCTTCCCTGTCCGGGACCTTCGTCCTTAGCTGCAGGGGCGGCCCTGAAGCGGTAGATCCGTCAGCGCCCAGCTTCTCGAGCCTGTCCGTGAGTGTTGAATGGCCTTACGTTAATACCTGGGTGCCTGTGGGCATTGCGGCTGACCCCACTTGATTGCCTCTGAAAAGTCTGGGTGGAGGCTACTTTGGGGGGGGGGCGGGCTCCCAACACCTGCTGTCCCCCCAGCCCTGAAGCTGCCCCAGTGGGCTGGGAAAATCAGTACTAGACTTCACACCTGTGATGTATCCATGGCACGTGCGGTGGGAAACTGCTCTAGAGGGGCGGTTCTCACTTTAGCAGCATCAGAATCACCTGGAGGGCTTATTAACACACGGCCGTAACTGACACACCTGTCCCGCCACCGTTTCTGATTTAGCAGGTCTGGGCTGAGGCCTGAGAATTGGCATAGCTAACAAGTTTTCAGGTTATGCTGGTGCTCTGGAATCACACCTTGAGAAGCACGGTCATAGAGGTTAAACAATGTTTTCTAAATACTCCCTTTTAAAGCAGCCCCTTCTCACTCCCTTACCCTGGCTTATTTTTCTCAAGAGCAGTTATCATTACTTGATATATATTTGTCTGCTTTTGCTTGTCTTTGGTAAGATTCAGGAGAACAGGCCCTTTGTTTTGCTCACTGTTTTAGTCCCATCTTCTAGAACAGTGCCTGGAACATAGTAGGAGCTGAAAGATATTTGTTGCTTAAATGAACATGCTATTTTGGAAGGCAGCAGCCGAAGCTGAAATTATGAGAGTGAAAAAGGTCACTCAGGAAGAAGGGGGACAGTAAAAAGGAGAAGGGTCAAGGACAGACCCTGGGGTACGTGGGCATTTAATATCAGAAATAGGAAATAGAGCAGAAAGCTGGGAGCCAAGCCTAGTGCAGCAGCATAGAGACCCACTGAGGAGAGATTTTTCACAAAAGGAGGGGACATCAAGAGTAAACATCAGAGATCATCTAAGATGAAAAGACTGAAAAGTCCGTAAGATTTGTCAATTACAAGATGATTTTGGTAAAAGTAACTTAAGAACACTGTGCAGAGTAGCGGTCTCCTTGCTTAGTGAATGGTGGATGAAAAAGTGGAAAAAAATGTGTGGATTGTAAAATGTGTGTGAAAGGTAACCTCTTTCTATATAAAATCTCTTGATTCCCTTTCTCCTAGGCTTTGTCTAGGATGGGATCTTTTTTTATTAGTTATTCTAAGGACTCAGTGGGCCCTTCTAATCTGAAATGTGTTTTTCTTTACATCTGGGACATTTTCCTTCTTTTTAAACTCCCAAATTCAAGGATTTGGCCACGCAGGAATAGCCACAGAGGTATACAGGTCAAAAGAGTGTGTTTCTGTCTCTCACTCCCCGTATCTGTGTTGTGTAAGATAAAAAGGATTCGAGCATAATTTTATGTTATAGGAAAGGAGTCTGTAAGGAGATGTTGAATATACAGGACTGGGTAATCATAGCCAAAGGTCATGATCCTAGAGGAGTTAGGATAGACTCAAGAGTGGGATGGTTGGGCCCTCCCCTGCTTAGACCAGGAGGAAAGATGAGAGGCGCGGCTGGTGTAGAGGCCTGGGTTGGAAGTTGAGGAGGTTCATACATGAGAGCCTCTATTTTCTCTGGGAGTCCAAGTGAAGTCATTTTCTAGTGGTGACGTAGGACTGGGTAAAAAGTGTAGGAGGGATGGCAAAGGTTGGAGTAATTGCTGTGGGAACTAAAATTGAACAGTGGCATCAAATGGTCCCAAATCAGGCATAATGTTAAAAAAAAAAAAACAACTTTGGGAGGCAGGAATGCTATATTAATTCTATGATGAGGTTTAACTCACCTACTCCCTCTGTTTATCTGCAAATCCTCTCCTTCCTGTCATGAGGCACATATTAAAGCTGCAGAAGATTGAAAAAACACGAAAACTTTCCTGGCTGTTTTCTAAGGCGGCAAAGCTGTAGGAGCAGCTGCAATTGAAACACTCCCAGAGGCAAGCAGGGCTGGGAGGAGGCCTGCGGGAGCCCGCTAATTAGCAGAATTAACTCTGATCATCATAATAGGCAACAGGGTGGAAAACACGTTGGTCTAACTCACACAACTCTCTGATTGTGCTTAATTAATGGCAGGATCCCAAGGAATGAACTCAACAAATAACCCACTAAGTCTTTTCGGTTTGTGTAACAACAAAAGCAAACAAACCAAAAAAACTCAATTCCAGGTCTGGGGAACAGAGGCATCTCATGAGTGAGAGACGTGGTTTGTCACCCTGTTCCCAGAACTAAATCAGATCCCAGACCCAGAGCCTGTTGAATGTAGCCAAATATATATATATATATATATATATATATATATATATATATTTTAAAGATTTTATTTATTTATTTGACAGAGAGAGAGACAGCGAGAGAGAGAACACAGCAGAGGGAGTGGAAGAGGGAGAAGCAGGCTTCCTGCCAAGCAGGGAGCCCGATGCGGGGTCCATCCCAGGACCTGGGATCATGACCCGAGCAGAAGGCAGACACTCAACGACTGAGCCACCCAGGCGCCCCTGTAGCCAAATATTAAGGACGCTGCTGAAACGCTGTCCCTAAGCCCTGCAAACCTTCATCATGGCTTTTCCCCAAAGGCCTTGTGATCCTTTTAGGATAACTGCTCTGAAGAAAAGGAAGTACCTACATATTTTCAGTGACTGTAACTTACTAATTCTAAACTAACACTAATTTCTGGGACCCCAGATGTCACTGTGTGCCCTCAGCATTCTGAGCTTACAGGGGTTAGGTGATAAATGAATTGAATTCGGGCCCAAGTTCACCTTTGGATAGGGCAGGTAGGACTGTGAGTCCATCCTGTGGTTATGTACGCTACTTGCCAAGTGAAGAGCTGGAATAGGAATCTGAGTAACTGACAGAATTCCTGCGCTGGCACTTTCACTCACTGAGCAAGGGCTCTTCTGGTAGGAAACACCAAGTGGAGGGCAAAATAATACCTTAAAAGCACTATCACATACCAGGAGAATTGCAGAGGTGAGTGTCCCCATCAAAGGTGTGAAGGATGCCAGTGTGATTATTCCCACCTCATTCCCATTCACTTCCCAGGTTATATACCACAAAAGACAGTGCATTATTGGAAACCCAAGCAAGTGATGACTCCAATTGCAGCTACTCTTACAATGGGGTCTCCTTACCCAAGTAACTCAAAACAGCCCCTGACACTTGGTTTGCACGTTATTGGTCTGGGATTTAGCTCCAGAATATCGTTTTAAAGGTCTCCTTTTACACATTATGCACTGATACCTTTCTAGATTCAGTCATAAGTTTTATGTTTTTATTGACTATCCCTCTTTGTTCTATCTTTGTTCATGTCTGTATATCCATTTCTTCACTTTAAAGTGGGGATCATAATTGTATCTCAGAATAACTGGGAAGAAAATTAGATAATCTTTGTGAAGAGCATCGAGTCAGTGCTCAATATGTGGTAGCTGTTATCTCAGATAATTGGGGATGAGAATCTGGGATACTTTTTTCAACTCATTGTTCATTTTGCAGGAGTCATTCTCAAGTTACTTAGTGAGCTGATAAGCTTTCTGAATCTTACATGTCTACCGATGTTTTTTCTTTTTCTGCATGTAATGCTGATTTGGCTGGATAAAGGATTCCAGTTTCAGCTTTGAGGATAATGCTCCATTGAAAAATCCAATGGCAATCTCAATTTCATTGCTTTATAGGTAACCTCTTTCTATATAAAATCTCTTGATTCCCTTTCTCCTAGGCTTTGTCTAGGATTGGATCTTTTTTTATTAGTTATTCTAAGGACTCAGTGGGCCCTTCTAATCTGAAATGTGTTTTTCTTTACATCTGGGACATTTTCCTTCTTTTTAAACTCCCAAACATTCTTTCTGATTCATTTTTCACCTCTCATCACTTTCCTTTTTGTTGCCTTGTCCATTCTACTATAAACCCATAAATCTTTCCTATGATGTGTCTTTCAGGGATTCCTCAATATACCTGGCTCGTTGATGGAACATATTTTTCCCAGAGCTTTTTTGGATTTAACATGTCATGGAATTTTAGATGGAAAATAAAGTACAGGCGTGTGCACAGGTTTTCTTCTTAATTCAGATTCCTTGGTTATGTTTTGGTTTGTCGTGTTCCTTTAATTAGACTGTACATATTGAGGTCTTTATACCATTCCTATTCTGTACCTCTTAAGCTTTTTTCTGGTTTTCAAGGACTTTAGAAAATTGGCTCATTCTCCCTATCCAGTAAACACATCCCCAGGTTATTTCTTCAAATACATTCTCTTCTTTAGTTTCCCAGCTCGTTTGTCTCCAGTGGCACCTGGAAGGTTCTTCACATTCATTCAAGAAGCTCTCCGCGCCCCGCCTGCTCTCTTCCGGAAGCCCAAGTTGCATCTGGCTCTGCAGTGATTCTCCACCAAGCTTCAGGATCGCCTGTAATTTTACCCCAACAGCGTTAGGCTTGCTGAATCATCATCTCTGCGGATCAGACCTGGGTATCATTCTCTCCCACCCCCCGCCCCCAACTTCAATAAGCTCCACAGGTGATTCTGAGGCACACCCAAGTTCAGAACCTCGAGGACCCCTTCCCCCCTCCTCCTGCCTGCGCATCGCTAGGGCGGACGGCCCCCTGTCCTGCCCCCTACCCGGCCGGGGAGGTGGTCGGAGAGGTTCTCGAACCGCAGCCCCACCTCGCGTCTCCCAGCCACGTCGGAGGAGGTAGGCGCCGGCGATCCCCGGAGGGAGCCAACGCTGCCCGAGAGACCGGTCTGGCGGCCCCGCGCCGCCCGGTCCCCCAGCCCCGACCCCCGAGCGACCGGCCTGCCCAACCGTCCCACCGGCCGCGCGCCCCCGGGGCTGGGCCGCGGCGCCGGTCGCCCGCCGCCCGCCCTCGGGCACTGGTGCGCAGGCGCGCGGGCGCCTTGGCGCTGCTCCTCGTCGGCGGCTGGGCGGGAGAACCCCTTTGACTGTCCCGGCCCGCAACGGCAGCGCCCGCGCTGTGGGCGACACGGGTGAGGGGCGGCGCGCCACCTGCCTGCCGCCCGCCGGCCTTCCACCCCGCGGCGTGGGCAGTCGGGGTCGCGGGAAGGAGAGCTGCTCACACCTCCTGGGGCGGGGAGAGACGTTGGGGGCGGGGAGGGGACCCCTTGGCCCCGGCAAAGAGGAGGTCGTTGACCTGGGTAAGAGGAAGCGGGCGGCCTCCCAGTCGGTCTGGGCCGGAGCAGGTACGCTGGTGCGAGGTCTTCACCTGGAGCCCTCTCCGTGGGCTGGGGAAGGCGGTATTGCGTTTGCCTCCTTCCCGGGCCTTTTCCCAGCGTCGACGAGGGATGCTGTCTGATGCGAAGTTTGCGGTGTAGACTAAGACCCCAAACAAACCCTTGTTAATGCTTCAGCAAAACAAAGCAAAACACAAAACCCAACGAGCCCGGAACTTGGGACTTCGCACACATTAGCCAGGGGCGGTGATTTCTCAGGCGTGCAGCTCAACACAGGTTGAGATTTAGAGTTTGAATTGTGCGAGGGCTTTGCGAAATGCAGCGTTTCAGAGAACCCTCACGGTTTTGCTTCTGCTTTATCACCTTTAGAACTCGCTTCTTGGTTGTTTATATTCCACTATTGATCCTTTTAACACCCCCCGCCCAACTTGGGTTTGTTTGCTTTTCTCATGAGCCATGTTTCTATCTTAAATCCGGTAAGGTGCAATGTCTGAACAAGAGCGTGTACAGGAATGCCTGAGGAAAGAAATAAGGTCACTTCTCATTTCCGCCAAAGATGGTTTGACCCCACAGCAGTTGGAAAAGGAGTACCTTTGGATGGTTGGCAGCCATTTGCCATTCCGAATCCTTGGCTATCGGTCAACTATGGAGCTGGTGTTGGACATGCCTGATGTTGTCACTGTCTGCCTCAGTGGGGATGGTACTGTAATACTGAAAGGTAAGCTTAAGATTTAAGATCTATAAGCTAAGCAATAATGATTACTTAGGAAGGAATTATTCTAGCAAATAAATAGGTGATAGGGATTAAGGGGTGCACTTGTGATGAGCACCGGGTGATGCATGGTGTTGAATCACTATACTGTACACCTGAAACTAATATAACACTGGATTTAACTGGAATTGAAATAAAAACAGGAATTGTTATGGCAGTTATCCTGCATATAGCAATTATCCTGCATCCCAGTGAGGGGATTTTAATATTTTGAGGGGGAGAGGGTTCATGGTTACCTTTGAGGTTGTGGGAAGAGTGAAAGCTTTAGCAAAATCAAGAAATCTTTCCCCAGAAAAAGGTGCATTCACAAAAACTACAGCTTACATATGATTTCAGATTGCACCTTAAATTGGCAGAAGCATAACAGTGGGAATTTTAAATTATGAACTCATGTTTTAAATTTCATGAAACAAACATTGCAGGGAAGTTTGTTCATCTTGAGAGCTTCAGGTATTTCAGCAGTCAGCGGTAATGCTAAATACTGGGATTTATCTTTCTGTTTTCATTCTCTGGTAGAGGAGCTAACAAGTGGTTGTAAAGTACAAGAAATGGAGGAACCAAGGGTTCATGTTTATAATGCTACCTAGATACACAGCTCCTTGGAGAGTTAAGAATTGTCTATATAACCACAGATGCAAAGGATAAAGAAAGGAGTTAAGTTTTCACCTAAATATGATTTCTTTTTTCACACCTCCTTAGCCATTCCAGATGAATCCACCAAAGGAATAGCAAGTTTGGTTGCAAAACAGAAGAGCAGCCATAAGGTTCGAAACTCCGAGCAGAAGGGAAGGGCCAGTGTTTGCTCTGGGCCAAGCTCCCGTCGGCGAGTACCTTACCGAGGAAGGGTGCCCCCCATTCTTCCAGCTGTTGTGAAGAGTGAGTTGAAAGACCTCTTGGCGTTATCTCCTGTTCTCCTTTCTGATTTTGAGAAGGCATTTGTCAGACGATTTGGACGTTCATTCCAGTATGTGCAGTATGGATTCCTCTCTATGTTTGAAGTGCTTAATGCTGCTTCGGATGTCATTTCTGTAGAGCAGACCAGAGCAGGTTCTTTGCTGATGCTAAAGAAGAGCGTATCAGAGGAAAAGCAGAGAGGATGGCCAACAGGTAAGCATGCGAGCATTAGTCACTGTATTGTGGGTTAGCAGAATTTGGAGCAGTCCTGGCAGCTGTGGAAGTGGGTCATGTCTCAGCTCCCAGAGTTTGTCAAAAGGTGCATCCTGGCGCTCCCCCTTGCTGGCTGAGTGATTTCGAGCAAGTTACTTAGAACATCGAAGTCTTAGGTTCCTCCTCTAGAATAGGAATAATAATACTTGCCTCTTGGAGTTGTGCTGAGGATTAAATGAGATGAACTCAGACAAGTGCCTCGCATTTAGTAAGCTTATGATAAGTGGTAGCTATTACTATAAAAACACAAGATCTGCTTTCTCTGGAGCACTGTAAATGAACGTGAGTCCTGTGTGTTCATGTAAAGCTATAACGTGGGAAATGAAGAGATTAAAAAAAAATACTGGTCACATTTGCCATCTAATTTTTGCTGGCACAGATCTTTGATAACCTAGCAAGCACTGCAGTAATTTATGTAGTGTAACGGTAACCACCTTATTTAGCGTTTTACCTTGGATTCTCATTGCCACACCATAGAAGGGTGAATAACCCAATCTTAGAGATAAAGAAAAGAAAGCTCAGGAAAGTTAAATGACTTTTCCAAAGTTGCATGACTAGGAAAGTGTTACAGCCAGGGTTTGATACTCAGCTTTTAATACTGTTCAGTGCTTTTCTTACCCAATCGTTGTCCCTCTTGTTTTTGTTTTTTTAATGTATATATTTATTGAAGTATAGTTGACACACAATGATCCATTATTTTCAGGTGTACAACATAGTGATTTGACAACTTTGTACGTATGCTGTGCTCACCACAGTGTAGCTACCACATTATTACAATACCATTGACTGTAGTCCCTATGCTGTGCCTTTCGTCCCTGAATCACTGTCTCAAAGTCTCAGAAGACCAATGTGATCATTTGTATCGTGCCTCACTAGATCCTTGACAGTACAGAATCTATACACTGAGCGTATTTGAAGAATTTCTATGCCTATTTCAGTGATTTTTCTTTTTCTCTAAAATCTGTATTTCGAGTAATGTAGGTGAAACCATGAGAAAGTCCCAAGTGTAGAAACCAATACTTAAACTATGATAGGAAGTATAATTTGATGAAGATATCCTAGGGTGTTTACATGCTCTGGTCAGGGAAGACTGCAGGGGCCAGTGAGTATTCTTGAGTTGCTCAAACTTAGGGAGACAAACTCATCATGCTGTTAAACTTATAAGAGGTTGACTTGTATAAAGCAGTTTGCCAACTTATTGAATGGGGGGAGCGATATTCCTTCCCAGTGATTGGATTGTTCATGTTTCCCATCTGTGGACCCTTCATCCTGTCATCAGGATACATTGGAAACAATTTGTGTGTGTGTGTGTGTGCGCGCGCGCTTGATCTTATGGTAAAGAGCTAGGCTATAATGAAGTCTAGTGATAAATCGTTTGTGTTGTACATCAACATATATCTCTCCAGTGGTATTTTCCTCCTACAAATCTTGAAGAAAAAAATCTGTACTCTAGAATATCCTTTATTCTGTAGCTTTTTTATCCCCCTTTCTTCCTCCCATACTACTAGGTGATTGTCTGGTTTGAGAAGCATAATTTTAAGCAGACTCCTTATTTGGAGGCTTTTTGACCTCCTAATAAACAGGATACAGCTTTTTAGGTTTTTACCTATTGAAACCTGCCTCTTTGTAATTATATTCAGGTGGCCTTAAGTGGAGTTTTTTAGGTAGCCCCAACCTTTTCAGTAACACACTTAATGATCTCTTGGTTTTCGTCTATAGATGACGAGAATCTCTTCCATTGTATGTAGATTTTATTTGGCAATATGAAACCATAAGCTTACTTTCCTTAATTGTTATTTCAGAGTTGAGGGCAGTTAGGTCACAGTAGCCTCTATAGATAACCACCGGAAAATAAAGTAGAAATCGTTAGTGACAACTTTTCTCTGTTCTTTTATTCACAGAAGGAGGGAAGATGTTTACTCAGCCTTTTAGAATGAAGCAGGGGTCGTACTCCACAGGCTCCCCAGTTGCAAAGGCCCGTTTTTCACAACCCACTTCAAACATGGAACTACCGAGGCAAATATTGAACGTGGAAAAGACTTTTAAGTCAAATGCAGTAGAGACTTCAAGGCTGAATCACACTGAAAAATTAAACCAGGTAAGAGATCAGATTTTGGAGATATAAATACACCAAAAATGTGTTTAAATTTAGTATTTATTACTTAGAACTGATGGAAAAGCTTACCTTTTAAAATTATAAAGTCATTTCGTATTTGAGCATTTTCTATGGTTGTGTTGATTACTAGCTAGTAAGAGGTGGCACAGGGAAAAAAAGTACAATTTTATCAGTTCCTATGGTTTCTTTGACAGGTTTCCCCTGCTATTCGAAAGTAAAGTGTTCCTAGGAAAGCTTTCTTAAGTTGAACTGGTATAAAGCAAGGAAACAGTTACCATTAATTTATATGGAAATTATTTTGAACATTCCCAGACCCTCAAAATAATCTCTAGTGGGCATTTCTGATACCTTAAGACACATCTTGCTAATGGTTTTTCTGATACCTTAGGACTTATCTTGGTAATTGACGCACAAAATAAATAAATGGAGATAAAGCACAGCATCAAGCCACCATAGCTTGATGCTGAATGAAGTTCTTGGGGAAGGAGGTTGGCGGTGCCTCTCCGGCTGCTCAGAGTGCACATAGCCCCTGTAACCACTCATTGCAAAACAAATGCTGGATGCTGTTTTCACTTCTGAAAATCCTCTTTCGATTTCTTTGAATTAGCAAAACAAGAACTAACCCTAGATCCTTCATAAAAGCAAAGGGGCATAGCGTGAACTTTTGAAAAGCAAGGGGTACCTGTACTTTCTGCAGATGACCCTCACATCTCTCTCTAGTTCCAGCTTCTCACCAAAGTCCTAGAAGTATATTTGCAACTTACCTCATGGATATCTTCACTGGAATGGCTGGCCTGAGCACTACAGTGCTGGTATTTTTTTGACTATGTATACACTGAAGGATTTTTCAACAAAAGCTACTAGAATATAACCAAGAAAGGCCTGGTTAAATTAGCAAGATAACAACCTTTTTTTTGCATTAAAAATTAATTATATTTTATTTAAATTCAATTAACACAGTGTATTAGTTTCAGAGATAGAGTTCAGTGACTCATCAGTTGTATATAACAGCCAGTGCTCATTACATCACGTGCCCTCCTTAATGCCCATCACCCAGTTACCCCATCCCCCAACCACTCCCCTCCAGCAACCCTCAGTTTGTTTTCTATAGTTAAGAGTCTCTTAAGGTTTGTCTCCCTCTCTGATTTCGATTTGTTCTATTTTTCCCTCCCTTCCTCTATGCTCCTCTGTCTTGTTTCTCAAATTCCACATATGAGTGAAATCATAGGATAATTGTCTTTCTCTGACTGACTTATTTCGCCTACCATAATACCCTCTAGTTCCATCCACGTCCTTGCAAATAGCAAGATTTCATTTTTGTGATGGCTGAGTAATAGTCCATTGTATATATATACCACATCATCTTTATCAGTTTTTCTGTTGTTGGACATCTGGGCTCTTTCCATAGTTTGGCTATTGTGGACACTGCTGCTATAAACATTGGGGTACAGGTGACCCTTCGGTCACTATGTTTGTATCTTTGGGGTAAATACTCAATTAGTGCAATTGCTGGGTCATAGGGTAGCTCTATTTTCAACTTTTTGAGGAACCTCCATACTGTTTTCTAGATTGGTTTCACCAGCTTGCATTCCCATCAACAGTGTAAGAGGGTTCCCCTTTTTCCACCCTCTTGCCAACATCTGTCATTTCCTGACTTGTTAATTTTAGCCATTCTGAATGGTGTGAGGTGGTATCTCATTGAGGTTTTGATTTGTATTTCCCTGATGCCAAGTGATGTTGAGCACTTTTTCATGTGTCTGTTGGCCATTTGTGTGTCTTCTTTGGAGAAATGCCCATTTCTTAACTGGATTATTTTTTGGGTGTTGAGTTTGATAAGTTCTTCATAGATTTTGGATACTAACCCTTTATCTGATGAGACATTTGCAGATATCTTCTCCCATCCTGTCAGTTGTCTTTTTTTTTTTTTTTTTTTTTAAAGATTTTATTTGTTTGACAGAGACACAGTGAGAGAGAGAACACAGCAGAGGGAATGGGAGAGGGAGAAACAGGCCTCCCGCCGAGCAGGGAGCCCGATGCGGGGCTTGATCCCAGGACCCAGGGATCATGACCTGAGCCGAAAGCAGATGCTTAATGACAGCCACCCAGGCGCCCGTCAGTTGTCTTTTGTTTTTGTTGACTGTTTCCTTTGCCTTGCAAAAGTTTTTTATCTTGATGAAGTCCCAGTAGTTCATTTTTGCCCTTGTTTCCCTTGCCTTTGGAGACCTATCTAGCCAGAAGTTGCTGTGGCTGAGGTCACAGAGTTTGCTGCCTGTGTTCTCCACTAGGATTTTGATGGACTCCTGTCTCACACTGAGGTCTTTATCCATTTTGAGTCTTTGTATATGATGTAAGAGAATGGTCCAGTTTCATTCTTCTGCATATGGCTCTCTAATTTTTCCAGCACCGTTTATTGAAGAGACTGTCTTTTTTCCATTGGACATTCTTTCCTGCTTTGTCAAAGATAAGTTGACTATAGAGTTGAGGGTCCATTTCTGGGCTCTCTATTCTTTTCTATTGATCTATGTGCCTGTTTTTGTGCCAGTACCATACTGTCTTGGTGATGACAGCTTTGTAATAGAGCTTGAAGTCTGGAATTGTGATGCCACCAGTTTTTTTTTTTTTTTTTCCAACATTCCTTTGGCTATTTGGGGTCTTTTCTGGTTCCATACAAATTTTAGGATTATTTGTTCCAGCTCTGTGAAAAAAGCCAATGGTATTTTGATAGGGATTGCGTTGAATGAGTAGATTGCTTTAGGTAGCATAGACATTTTAACAATATTTGTTCTTCCAATTCATGAGCATAGAACGTTTTTTCATTTCTTTGTGTCTTCCTCAATTTCTTTCATGAGTATTTTATAGTTTTCTGAGTACAGATCCTTTGCCTCTTTGGTAAGGTTTATTCCTCAGTGTCTACGGCTTTGGGTGCAGTTGTAAATGGGATCGATTCCTTAATTTTTCTTTCTTCTGTCTCACTGTTAGTGTATAGAAGTGCAACTGATTTCTGTGCATTGATTTTATATCCTGCCACTTTGCTGAGTTCCTGTATGAGTTCTAGCAATTTTGGGGTGGAGTCTTTGGGTTTTCCATATAGAGTATCATGTCATCTGCAAAGAGTAAGAGTTTGACGACTTCTTTGCCTATTCACATACCTTTTATTTCTTTTTTTTTTTTTAAAGATTTTATTTATTTGAGAGAGAGAGAATGAGAGACAGAGAGCAGGAGAGGGAGGAGGGTCAGAGGGAGAAGCAGACTCCCTGCTGAGCAGGGAGCCTGATGCGGGACTTGATCCCAGGACTCCAGGATCATGACCTGAGCCGAAGGCAGTCGCTTAACCAACTGAGCCACCCAGGCGCCCCCTTTTATTTCTTTTTATTGTCTGTTTGTGAGGCTAGGACTTCTATGTTGAACAACAGTGGTGATAGTGGACATCCCTGCCGTGTTCCTGACCTTAGGGGAAAAGCTCTCAGTTTTCCCCCAATGAGAATGATGTTTGCTGTGGGCTTTTTGTAGATGGCTTTTATGCTATTGATATATGTTCCTTCTATCCCTACACTGTGGAGAGTTTTAATCAAGAAAGGATGCTGTACTTTGTCAAATGCTTTTTCTGCATCTGTTGAGAGGATCATATGGTTCTTGTCCTTTCTTTTATTAATGTGGGGTGTGTAACATTGATTGATTTGCAAATGTTGAACCACCCTTGCAGCCCAGTAATAACTTTCATTTAGTCGTGGTGAATAATCCTTTTAATGTACTGTTGGATCCTGTTGGCTAGTATCTTGGTGAGAATTTTGGCATCCCATGTTAATCAGGGATATTGGTCTGTAATTCTCCTTTTTGGTGGGGTCTTTGGTTTTGGAATCAAGGTCATGCTGGCCTCATAGAAGGAATTTGGAAGTTTTCTTCCCTTTTTAGTTTTTGAAACAGCTTCAGAGAATAGGTATTAATTCTTCGTTAAATGTTTGGTAGAATTGCCCTGGGAAGCCATCGGCCCTGGACTCTTCTTTGTTGGTAGATTTTTGGTTACTGCTTTGGTTTTCTTGCTGGTTATGGGTCTGTTCAGATTTTCTGTTTCTTCCTGGTTCAGTTTTGGTAGTTTATATGTTTCTAGGAATGCATCCATTTCTTCCAGATTGCCTAATTTGTTGGCATGTAGTTGCTCATAATATGTTCTTATAATTGTTTGCATTTCTTTGGTGTTGGTTGTGATCTCTGCTTTTTCTTTCATGATTTTATTAATTTGGGTCCTTTCCTCTTTTCTTTTTGATAAGCCTGGCCAGGGGTTTATTGATCTTACTAATTCTTTCATAGAACCAGCTCCTAGTTTCGTTGATTAGTTCTGTTCTTTTGGTTTCTATTTCATGGATTTCTGCTCTAATCTTTATTAATTCTCTTCTCCTGCTGGGATTAGGCTTTATTTGCTCTTCTTTCTCCAGCTACTTTAGGTGTAGGGTTAGGTTGTGTATTTGAGACCTTTCTTGTTTCTTGAGAAAGGCTTGTATTGCTATGTACTTCCCTCTTAGGACCGCCTTTGCAGCATCCCAAAGGTTTTGAACAGTTGTGTTTTCATTTTCATTTGTTTCCATGAATATTTTAATTCTTCATTAATTTCCTGGTTGACCCATTCATTCATTTAGTAGGATGCTCCCTAGCCTCATGTATTTGAGTTCTTTCCGACTTTCCTCTTGTGATTGAGTTCCAGTTTCAAAACACTGTGGTCTGAAAATATGCAGGGAATAATTTCACTCTTTTGGTACCGATTGAGACCTGATTTGTGACCCAGTATGTTTTCCATTCTGGAGAATGTTCTATGTGCACTCGAGAAGAATGTGTATTCTGTTGCTTTAGGATAGAATGCTTTGAATGTATCTGTGAAGTCCATCTGGTCCAGTGTGTCATTCAAAGCCATTGTTTCCTTGTTGATTTTCTGCTTAGATGATCTGTCCATTGCAGTGAATGGGGTGTTAAAGTCCTCTACTATTTTT